CATCCAACCACCCCGCAACCCCCCAGCCACCCCGCAACCACCCCAACAACCACCCATCCACCCCGCAACCACCCCATCCAACCACCCATCCACCCCGCAACCACCCCAACAACCATCCAACCACCTCGCAACCACCCATCCACCCAGCAACCACCCCAACAACCACCCATCCACCCCGCAACCACCCCAACAACCACCCATCCACCCCGCAACCACCCCAACAACCATCCAACCACCCATCCACCCCGCAACCACCCCAACAACCATCCAACCACCTCGCAACCACCCAACCACCCAACCACCCCGACGACCACCTATCCTCCCTCGCACCCACCCATCCACCCCCGCAGCCACCCAACCACCCCGACGACCACCCATCCTCCCTCGCACCCACCCATCCGTCTCTCGTACGAGGATCTGTGCGTGGCTCAAATTCAAACGCACTATAACGACTACGTACATCGGCCCATTCTCTGCGACTCTTACTCAATTAATTATCTATTGTAATTTTAACAGCGCGTGTGACAGCTCAGTTAGGGGAAGGTGATAGGAGCGAACGCTTACTCTGACATATGAATCATTCCCCTGTTTGCTTCCGTTGTTTGTTACCGCGGTCAGCCATGCATTGCCTTCCACCAGCCTACTCTTCCCTTGCGCGTCAATGCTTGCGGGCACAGCTATGATAACACCATGTTCCGTACAGGTATGTATCCACGGTACAGGTGTGTATCCACGGTATCCCGTACAGGTGTGTGTCTGTATTTATCTGCGTAGGTAAACTTAATTCTAACTTACCTTTACAAACGTGTGCATCCACCGACCGCCTTGTCTTACAAGGCCACTACGCCATACGATAACCGCGTTTCTCGGTGCACCAAAGAAACTCCAATCGTGCTGCTAGTTCCACTTGCTCTAATCAACACACATTCACGAACGCACAAGGGGAAAAAGAGAAAGGAGTAAGCCCGTGGGTGAGAGAGAACCCCAGAGATCCGGTTCCCTGACAGCTCCGTGTATAAGAGATGCGGGGAGATCGCTCGGCTCTGTTCGAGCAAAGCTATCGGCGCTCGAGAATGTAAGGCTTGTGACCTCGGTCACGTGACGACGTCGCGCGACAGCGAACACGCAAGGGGCGTGTGCGGACTTACCTTGTGGATAACCTCGGACAATGCGCGCCTGAGGAAGATAACAACAACGATAGAGTGACGTCTATCGACGACGACGCACACTAGCACGCCGTATAACCATTCGCGCACATATGAAAGAAAAAAAACCGCTTGCTTCTTCTATTATCGTAGAAAATCGGTACTACATTGGAGGGAAGGGGAGCAGCAAGTAATATCCGGTTCAGAGGGAGAGTTATTACAGAGTTGTAGAGGTTTCTGAACGTAATGAGTTTGCGCACATATCGACGTTTCGCTCGTTTATGAAACTAGGACACCTGATGACGCTTGCGAGGGTAGGAATTAAATATAACGACTCGGAAGTGTATACACAATCAACAGCTAATCATACTTGATACAACAGCTCTTGATACAATAATCGTATACACATTAATAACATTCGCAACGCACTGCCGTAAGCAATTGAGCGCAACGAGTGGCGAAAGTTCTGGCACGATATTAATTAACCCTTATATCGGCCAGACAGAATGAGAGCGGCCCAGCGGGTAAGAAACGCACCCAACTGCATCATAGCCAACATCTATCACCTACGCATGAGAAAGAGGTCGCCGGAGTTTCTTACGCCCTGCGACGTTGCCGCCAGCTAAGCAATTAACATATATATATAATATGCGATAAGAAAGTAAATGTCAGTAGGCCTATGTATGTAGGGTAGAGTAAGAAATTACGTGCTGATGGTCTTCAATGAATGAATAACACCAGCACGAAGGATTGTGATATATATTTACATGTGAGGTGAGAGCGGAGAGGGAGGGAGGGAGAAGAAAGGGGCGAGAGAGAAAGAGCGAGAGAGAGAGAGCGAGAGAGAGAGAGAGCGAGAGAGAGAGAGAGAGAGAGAAGAGAAGAATGAGAGAGAGAGAGAGAGAGAGAGAGAGAGAGAGAGAGAGAGAGAGAGAGACGAGAAAGAGAACAGAATGAGAGAGGAGAGAAGAGGAGAGGGTGAGAGAGAACGAGAGATGGAGAGGGTGAGAGAGAACGAGAGATGGAGAGGGTGAGAGAGAACGAGAGATGGAGAGAAGAGAGATGGAGAGAGGAGAGAGGGGGGCTAGAGAGAAGGAGAGAGAGAGAGAGAGAGGGAGAAAGAGAAGGAGAGAGAGAGAGAGAATTCTCAACGTTCACGCACCCCACGCACGCGCACACACACCCGTACTCGCACAAATCGAAATTTTGCCCTGCACGAGGGAAAAGGTTAACAGACTGTTTCGGTCTGCATGCACGTCACGGTACATACATGTTAGATGCATTTATCAGTGCCAACACTGCCATCGCTATGATACTTCCACTCCTGTCAAATATGCTACACGCAAAAGTTCAATGTTTAAAAATAATAATTAAACTGGCTTGTGACAAGTTTTCATTATTTCATTTGTGCAAGAGATGGTATGAAATATATAAGACGAGATGGAAATTAAGGAGTTATGCTGCATAGATTGATGAAAATGCGTAATTTTACACAATTTCTACAAACAAAGAACCAAGGGGAGCATACGCTTCACCATTAAAGGAACAGTACCGGTAAGTTAGACCATAATTATAATATACAAACACACGTGTTTGTATATATCTATGATTAAATACATGATATGGGTCACAATGACCAGAATAAGGAGGCGCGAATCATAGAAATCTAATAGATAGGATGTCTATGGCGCGAATACTGTAGACGGTGGCGCCACCATCATAAACCAGAGCATACGATATATTGAATTTAAAGACGACAATTTTCTGCCATTGTTCGTTTTGATAGAAAACGCATAGGTATATTTAGATTTTTTTCGTCTTGATTAAATACTAACGTTACTTTGATGATACGTGATCATCAATCATACTACTACCATTAATAATACATCTAATTCAGTAATTGTATATTTTTAGGTCATGTCGTACAGAGATAGAAGAGAACACAAAGAGCGGTTCGGCGATATGGATGATCCACCAAACAGTCGCCTCTTCATAGTCTGTAGCAGGGATAGCAAGGAGGAGGAATTTCGCGAGATATTCGAGAAGTACGGCAAAGTCGAAGACATATGGATCGTCAGAGACAAACATAGCGGAGAACCAAAAGGTGCAGTATTATATCATCATACTCTAGTCCGAGATTCCTCTGACCAATGCCCACACCGACGATTTTGGTGGATTTTGTGTGGGTTAGGTCTGAGCAACTTGCCTATAGGCCTACAAAACGTGGAATTTTTCCGATCCCGCCGAGGATTGCTGTTTCGTCACTCCAAACTCACAATTGGGGCTATCAATCAAGACCTGACGCACATAGATCGAAAACTGGATAACTTGTATGCTTGCTCGCATTGGTAAGTACACTTGTACTCTTTTACCTTAGTCATATTTCGATTTGAAAATTTGTTGCCCTCCGACATCGGCCATCCATCATGCATCCAACTGCATTTTGGGAAACTACCACGCTACCAAAGTACGCTACTCTGTTGTTTCCCAAGATGCAGTTGGGTGCACGATGGATGGCCGATGTCGGAGGGAAATTGTTAGCAACAAATTTTCAAATCGAAATACGACTAAGGTAAAAGAGTACAAGTGTACTTACCAACGCGAGCAAGCATACAAATTATCCAGTTTTCGATCTATGTGCGTCAGGTCTTGATTGATAGCCCCAATTGTGAGTTTGGAGCGATGAAACAATGATCTACGGCGGGATCGGAAAAATTCCACGTTTTGTATAGGCAAGTTGCTGTGACCTAACCCACACCAAATTAATCCACCAAAATCTAATCATATACTAGATATAATATACATTATTAGCTTGATAATTGTTTCCATACCTAGAGAAACATAGGGAATTTGTACATTATTGCTCTTAGATACATTCTTGGGCCCAAGGATATACACGCTGTCCACATTTGCACATGTTGCACATTTTTGAAAATGCATTGTGGTCAGCACTTATATCCATGAACCCATTCTTGTGCATTGTCTATACCAGCCCGGTATTAAGCACATTCATGGCAAGGCTGATTTACTGATTGTTGTGCGGCAGGTGTTTGCTACGTGAAGTTCTCTAAGTCTTCAGAGGCTGCGCTGGCCATGGAGGAGATGCACGGAAGATGCGTGGGCCAGAATCCGAAACCCATTAAGGTTTGTGTAGAGGACTTTTGAGTTTTGGTATTTATTGAACCTAACGAGCTGTAAGATTTTGTCGTTATTGCTGTGGGAGGACTGTGTTGGTACACTGCAACAAGTTTATCGCATAATGCATAACTATATATACACCGAGAGAAGTTTTGTTTGATTAATTATTTTTTTTATAATATAGAAAGATTACGAAAAATTCAAGATATTATAAGGTTTAAAGATTTTGTAAGGTGAGGTACTTTGAATAGAAGTAGACACATGGCTTTTATCAGACAATGAATTATGTAATCTAAAATGGTAAGTTGGGGCAGGAATTACCCTGGTCATCAATCTTTTGAACAGTGCATGATCGCCACTAACCGCGCAGAGGGATCGAAGAGAGATGCTCCGAACGAGGAGGGTAGGATGTACAGACTATTCCTCATCGTGCCGAAAAGCCACACGGAAGAGGACGTCAGGGAACATTTCAACAAGTTTGGTGACATCGGTGAGTGGGGGCGATTACATCCGTCGGCTTCAGGTCATAGCTGACGCCCTCTGGTTTGTCACATGGCCTGTGTGGTGGTATCGGTGGCTCACACGCAGACCGTGTAGACAGTAGAGTAGGCGTGGTTCACCCGCCTCTACCTCAGCTGGTAGCTGCAGGGTCACCCTTAAAAAATTGTTTGATTCTCCTTTATCTACTCGCCTCTCAGGGTACCGAGTAGGTAGGTAGGTGAAAAATCTTTTTTATTTTGTTTTGACAAGATGTGTGTATGTATATTGTATATTCTGTTTTGTGTATATGTTTTTGCGGAACAAATTTGATTTTTTTTTGGCGAAACGACATAATTTTTGTTTTGTTTTAATCGGCCAATAAAATGTGTCGAGTATCGGCGTTTTGGCGAGTCAGTTGGTAAAGGGGAAACGAGCAATATTTTATCTTAGGCCCAGCCCTCTGATT